TAATAAGTGTTAGGCAAGAGCCCTCGTCCCCCACCCCATCACACACGCGCGGTGCGTTCAGATGTCAAAGCGCAGCGCGAGGACCTTTTCGCTTCGCAGCCAACCGCTCGTGGTTGCGATGAGGTTGCCCACTTCCTGCGCGTCTCCATGAAAACAAACTCACGTGGAGCTACAGTAAAGCTGTCATCAGAACGTGTCAGCGCCAGCACTTCAACTGCGCCTAAACTGCGCGTTAACGCTGGATTCCCGCAGAGGCTTTAATAGTTTGGTGCAAAAAATACATATAAAAGCGCGTTTTGTTTAAAAGGGAACAACTCCACGGCTTGTATCTTGCTAAGAGGTATTAGAGAGAGTTTTATTCGAGGTCAGCCAAAGGAGCACATGCTCTCTGCTCTCCTGTAATTGACGGTCAATCATTGACAACATGCGGGCGTCACGTTCCAGCGCAGGTGATGGGCGCGCGCGCCCTGATGTCCACATCCTAATCTGGGGAGCTGAACTCTCTCACCGCACTGTGACTCAGATTAAACTGATAACTATGTTTGTCAAGAGGGAACATTCAGGGAATTTACTGACCATCTCAAAGCTGTAGTATTAATCTGCTGACTGTTAAACATCTACAGATCCCTCGTGGAGCCATGTTTTACTTTTAACTTCTTTATGGGGAAAAGAAAGATGCGAACTTGTCATGCATGTTTGAACTTTTTTCTTTTTTTTCTCAAAAACTTGACTTCTGAGTTTACAGCTCAGAGACATAACCTTTGTTTTGTTTATATTTTCAGACGCGCAGAAGTTTGCAAATCAAACATTTAAAATGTTGAAGCACTTTTTGTTGAAGCAAAATTTGGATGAAACCAGCTTTCTGAACACACAGACAAGCAGTGTGCAAATTGTTTGAATTGCATCTGTTTGGTGAAAACATTAACTTCATGTTTCAACTTTGTGACGCACTCAGGTAGACTGTATTTAGACACTTTTTGTTTCTGTGACTGTATTTAGACACTTTTTGTTTCTGTGAGTGAAGGACTCCTCCTGACGCTCCCCTGGTGGAGGAATCCCTGCATGATCCTCACCCTGCTTAAAATAGGCACACTTAATTAGCCAAATAATTAGGCTCCATGAATCACAGAGGTAAAATATGTTTACCAATTTAGCACCAAATAAATGGAAATGGAAGAAATTGACATTTTATGAGTTGCTTGTAGGATATTTAATTTCCTAAAATACACAAAAATCTAAGTTATTCTCCTGCGTTTTTTTAAAGACCCATTCTGCCTCCACCTGTGCTTTTTTATTGCTTAGAACAAGCTGAGCATAAAGGGTCTTTCTGACGTCACATGCACGTTTAATGGGGACAAAATGGCTGTGATGATTACTGCAGGTGTGATTCATGTTCATTAGAGTGTTCACATACTGACACAGTGAGCAGCATTTGTTGACGGTCTGACCACCTCTCTCTCTCTCTCTCTCTCTCTCTCTCTCTCTCTCTCTCTCTCTCACTGGGTTGGAACGCGCGGTTCCGTGTCTTTCCCCGTTGAAAAGCCTCCTCACGTGGCTTCCCTCTCGGAACCGCGTGCGGCGCGTGAGATCCCCGGGCACGCCTCCCCTTCCCTCCTCTCCCCCTCCCTGCTGCTCGCCTCTCGCGCACTCCTCTGTACCGCGGTGACGGGAGAGGGAGAGCTTGGTCAGTGGGTCAGCGATTCCATGGTTTAACTTTTCTTTTCATTTTTTTTTTCTGGTCACGTTTCCTCGCCACATGCGTTGGTCTAATGATTTTTATTATTAATTTTGTATATATCATTGTGTGTGTGTGTGGCAAGAATGTGAAGTTTACAACATCTGTCCACATCAGATCAGGCCGCACATCCGCTTGGGAGCGTGGGGTGGGGGTCACTTTCAGTGGGAACGTGACTCTCCTTCATCTTTCTCTCCAAACCGTGCTGAAACAGAGAGCAGATGAAAAGCTTTTGCAAACACCCTGAARAATGTTATGTTTTTCCATCTTTAAAAAAAATTAAATAAAAAACACAACACGTTCTGATCGTAACGGAAAATCTCCCATCCACACCCGCTGTGATCGTACAGCCCGGGCTGTTAATTGCACGAGCCAAAGCTGCAGTGTGATGGCACCAATTCTGAGAGAACGCTAGAGGCGCAGAGACACAGTTCTATCAAGTTCCTGTGATATTGACCTACTTACACAAGCCTGTGGTAAGAAAGTCTGCTGCAAACACCCAAGTGCTCTCAGCCTGGATATGCTCAGCACAAAGTATCTCTTGGTACACACTGTTCAGTTATTGTAAGAGTCTTTTCAGGGAGCGATGGCATTTGGGTAGATTCGGTTTAAAGGGTAGCTACAAGGTGTAGCTGTGAACATTGAGCCCAGAAAGATAAGGGTTGGACAGTGGAGGGCATGGCTCACGTTTCTCCGCCTGCTGCCATGGTCCTGGCAGATTAGTGCTTGCACGAGCAGGCTAAGAAAGACTGACCGACTCAATCAGAGCTGTTATCAGTGACCTGCATTGTAGCTCTTGATGGAGACTATAGGTCGAGGGCATCCAAGTTGCCTGTATGAGAATTGAACAACATGAAGAACTCAGKGAAACTGCAAACTTTGGGACACTGATGTGTAACCATAGCCTAATTTCTGGTTGAGTCAAGGTGCCATCCTGTGGCTGCAAAACACGCCCAAATCGTCATCCCCCCCACCACCGTGTTTGACAGGTGTGATCTTTGGTCTGGTTCTTGGCTTAAAAACATTGTGAAGTCTTGGGTTTTCACATATAAATTTAGGTCATGGTGGTGTTTTTTTTTAACATAAGGGGCTTTTTTGTCTGTCTTTATCCTGAGCCTGTAGACATAGCTCTATTTTGTTGTTGCAATGTCCCAGAGCATTGCACAATCTGAACTTGGGGTGGAGGATGTTCACTGACAAAATTTGCATTTTTCTTGAGAAAACCATCATTTGCTGAAAATGTTACATTTGGACTCTTCCAGTTGCACAAGATTTGTGTGCAATTCCTCTCTGGTTAACACATCATGCGCCAGAACAACAAACTGTGCTTTTATAGAGATGCTATCATGATCAGTTCAAGTGCAGTTGTTGGTTACTATGGAGAAAAGTTGTGTGCAATGATTTTTTTCCCCTCCTGTCTTGATTTAAGAAAATATCTATTGATTTCTTGTTGTTACCAGATTTTTTTTTCAATATGTCATGCAAAAACTAAAGTGGTCATCTGCCTCTATAAATTGATTAGAAATAAAAATGCAGTTTCTGCATGTAAAAGCACTTTACAGTGGATGCAGCGCCTCAGCACTCACAAACAGCCAGTTAAAATGATTATTAATTGACTCAGTGTTGACAGCTCATTCATAAACACTGCTGTACATGTGAGCCTTCAGGTGGACGTGCAATGTGTTTAGGTGGAGTGGGAGGTTGGGCATTGACTGAATGTTAGTGGGGTGGGAGGCGGAGAGGTCTGGATATGACTCTGGCATGAGTCAACAAATCCACCAACACGTGCTGGTGGAAGGGATTAACAAAACTATTGAGCTAAACAAGTCATTGCGCAGCAGAGGGTAACACTCTCCAGAATGGCACTGCGCCATGTCAAAGTCTCTTTAAAGTTTCAGTCTGAACATGTTTGTTTTGTTGTTAAATGTGCACAAAATCACCCTGTTTTGACTGTGCAGCAGGTGGGCTTTCCAGTAAAGGCAACACAGTTTGCACAGCTTTTCCTCCGCGCATAACCGCCACTCGCATTCCTGAACTGCTGGTTGCGCACAACCAGCCGAGACTCGGCGCTGCCCAGCTCCCCACCCCCGCAGTCCCGCGTTTTGTTTATGAACACAGTTCTGACTTCAGAATTTCGTGTTTTGGTTTTTCTTTTTTCTTTTTTCTTTTTTTTTTTCGACACGAGACTGCGGATTTGGTTCGGCCAGTGGAACCGTGTCAGGAGTCCATGCATGTGAGGCGGCGGTCAGGTGTCGTGCTGTTAGCTGACGCTGGGCACGGTGCCACGGGAGCGACGCTATTATTGGAGCGGAGGAGGCAGCAGACCCCGCAGACACGTGAGGTCCTGTCTCAGCTCATCCAGCAACGCCTGACTGGAGACAGAGAGGAGGGAGGGTGTGTGTGTGTTTGTGTGGATGGGAGTGGTGCTGCAAACCGTTGAGACTCATCGAGATTAGAAATAATAAAATTAATAAAAACATGAACCAGATTCAGACCTGAGTAGTGCATCAATATGACATGCAATTTATTTATTTATTTATTTATTTATTTATTTTTGTACTGCCTGCGGTATGTTTTTTTAGCGCCCATTGAGCGCATCATTGCGCCTTTTCCGCCCAAGATGAGGCAACAATAGTGCTTCACATTCTCAGGACTCCTTCCTGCTGGGCAGGTGTTTTAAATTACATCACAGCCAACTGGAGCTAAACTGTTTTGGATGATGCTCAAATGAAACCTAAAAGACATATTGCTTTATTGCTATTATTATTAATATTAACATTTGAACGACACAAAAGCTGCATTTTCACAGAAAAGGCAGAGGGGATTCTGTATCAGAATGGTGAATTACGAAATTGTGTTGAAAAATGAACCGGTAAAACAAGCAGAGCAGAAGCTAAAGTTGTCAAATAAAAGACAAAAATGAGCAAAACCAAAACTAAAATGTAAAACTTGCAGATTTTCTAATTTTAGTTTTCATCAAATGTCAAAGTTAGCAAAGTTGTAGCAATAAGCTAAAACCAACGTACAGTGAGAGGCTAAAATTAAGAATAAGGTAGCTAAAAGCTAAATGTAGCAACATTGTTAACTGCGGAGTACATCAAGGCTCCGTTTTTGGTACGTTTGTGTTTGTACATTGTATTAACATGATTATGATTATGCTTTTACTGCTGTTTTTACTTATATATGCATGTGTAAATATGTTTGTATTAATGTGTGTAAAATCATGTTTTTTTTACTGGCATGTTTTTGTGCATGTGTATTTTTGTATACTGTTTTATTCCTGTTTGAAAGCACATTGTGTTTCTTTGTGCCTGAAACGTGCTACACAAACAAAGCTGGACTTGACTCTTGTCCTCCATTCCTGATTTCAATAGGGGGAGTCATCCTGTATGCAGGGTCTTCTGGCAGTTCCAGCCCAAGCCCGGGCAGCCCTTCCAGTGGATACCAGACGCAATCACCTTCCTCACACTCCCAGCCCTCGTCTCCAGAAGAATTTACCTTTACAGAAATAGGGGTGCTGAAACAAGGGAGGACTTCAAGTTCCAACACTCCAACCTCCAAACTGGTGTTCCAGTTCCCTGAAGTCTACAATGCTCCCTCAGCAGCATCTGTTCCACAGCAGTCCTATGCACACCCCATTGCAGGGAAGAGACCCTGTGGGTTCGCCGGAACTTTCACCAGTTAGTGTTACCTCACTGTTAATATTTTTGTGCATAAATCTCCAGTCAGGTTTTCATATTGGTTAACTAATTGTCAGGATTTCCTTCCTCAGAGACAGGTGGAATGGTCCTGCTTTGCAAAGTTTGCGGCGACATAGCATCTGGCTTCCACTACGGAGTGCATGCATGTGAAGGTTGCAAGGTAAGCATTTCTGGAAAAAACCAAAACAAATTTGTGGCAACTCTTTCAACATTGTGTTGACTCTGTTACACCCAACTCATTGGGCACCTTTTTGTGTATGGTGTTTGTGTATGTTTCAGGGTTTTTTCCGTCGTAGCATCCAGCAGAACATCAACTACAAAATGTGCGTGAAGAACGAGAACTGCCTCATCATGCGCATGAACCGTAATCGGTGTCAGCACTGCCGTTTCAAGAAATGCCTCTCTGTTGGCATGTCGAGAGATGGTGAGACATCTTACCTTTTTTTTTTAAGTGAGAGGGACCTTCAGGCAGTTCTGACATAGTTTCACAGTTTCCTGAGCACCGTACTCAATATGTAGGTTTGTGTGAAAAATGCGCCGCAGGGAGGCTTTTTGGGGTCATCATGTCAGTAGCTCAGCCACTTCCTCATTAGAGGACTTGCACCTGTCCTGCCATTCTATTTTGTCACTGCCCAGCCACAGACAACCATCTGGCTTTGCCTCACACCTAAGTTTCTCTGTCTTTCTGTTGCCCTTTGCATTATCTTCCTACAACAATATTACTTTTATACTCTTGTTCAGTACAGCCCCTCCCCCTTTTATGTACCCACCATGTTCCCTCAGCTCTCTTACATCTACCCCMCTCAGACAGTGATTTATGAGAAAAGGAGCCTTGAAGTCCCTCAAGCTATCTATCATCTGGAAAACTGCAGCAAACACAAGAATTATTTTGGGAAATTGGAACAGGGTCAACTTGATTACCTTGTGTACGCACAAAGAGCATCTTACTGCAGTTATTAAGGAGCAGGGCAGCAATTAAGCAAGGCATGCAGAAAGCATTGTTGTGACAGACCTATTCGGGCACGACACTCCCGTATCACCTGGTTTTACCCCCCGAAACCTGAGAATTGATTGATCACCCATCATCACACATTAAAGAAACTGTCTGGCTGACCTAGAAAAACAATACAGCATTGGCCCTATGGTGTACTCATGCATCATGACCTACTTGGTGTAGTTTGCCTGTTTTCTTCCTCCCAGTATGGTTTCTGCTTATCTCCATCCTCCAGCACTCTACATAGACTAATCTAGTAAAGAGGTTAGTGTTATTTCTGCATGTGTGTGTGACACTTCTGGTGCACTGAGAAAAAAATAAATAAAAAAAGGAAGACTGCCGGGCCGACCCATGAAAGGGGGGAAGGTTTTTTTTGTAAGTGTAAGGGACCACAACCTAGAAACCCCTTTTTTACTCCGTTTCAACCATTACAAAAACAGGAAAACCACATGCAACTGCCTGCAGCCCACAATAAAACAGTTCACCCTGATTTCTCACCAGGCAGCTGTGTGACTTTGGTTCTGCAAAAGGCAAATATCTGAGCGCGTTGGCAGGATGGCACACTTTTGCTTCATCCCAAACCAGAGTGTCATTTTTAGAGCAAAGGCTTATTAGTCTGCATTTGTCTCTATTTAAGCATGATAAACTGGTTCAATCTCGCATCGCGTTCATGCATGCATCCACATCGACATTTCCTGCAGGCAAAAGCAAAATTACAACACATTTGCTAAATTTTGCAATACTTTTCACAGCACCTAGTAAATCACCTTACTTACATTGTCTATATGTATTTAAGTGAATTTCTTGTGGGCATAGCAGTATGTCGCTTTTCAAATGTTATTGTGACATGTAAAAATGAGGTGAGCTTTTCTTGCAAAAGTCTTTGAAGCTGCACCAGATTTTGGTCTTATCCAACTCCATCTTGTGGACACACACACACACACACACACACACACACACACACACACACACACACACACACACACACACACACACTGAATTGCTTATTTTCCATGTTTTACCTCCTCTGATTTCAACACTTTCATGTTCTCATCACCTCCTCCTTGACTGATTCGCACCCATCTCTCTCATCCTTTTTCTCTCCTACAACCTCCAGTGTCATTGACATCATGCTCACGTTGCCCTACTGCTCTACTTACAAACGGAGGGAGCGAGCTCTAGAGGAAGGAGAACGGGGTGGATAGAGGGGAGGATGAGGCAGATGGCAGCAGGGGGTCTATAAATAGCCTCTCCAGCTGATGGGTACTGTGAGAACAAGGATGGGGAGTGGAGGGAGGAGAGGGGGGGGGGGGTTCATTTCCCAACTTTCATGTTTCTCCTTGAAATCCTTCCTTCTGAGASATTTTGATATGTTTGTGCATGTGCAAGGAGGTCAAAGTGATACAGCTTATTCTTGCCTTGAAGTTAAGGAACACTATAAGTAAAATAAACAAAATGTTTATTAAAAAAAAAAAGAAGTCAAATTCCGTAGGGAAAAATCAGAAAAGTGACAATTTCCCTCCTTGATTGTGTCTTTTTCCAGCTGTGCGTTTTGGCCGTATTCCAAAGAGGGAGAAACAGCGACTTCTTGATGAGATGCAAAGCTACATGAACAGCCTAAATGAATCAGCCTCCATGGATATGGACTCTCCAGTGCAGGACGGGCCCACCAGCACAGATGACTGCAACTCGAAAGAGGCAATCGGGACCATTTCCAAAGCCTATCGGGACATCTTCAGCGGCRGCAACAGCAGCAGCCATGAGAGATCTACCAATAGGGCTAACGTTACCACAAACAACAACAACGCACATCCCATTTCTCAGGATGGCAGCTTTCAAGTTTCATCTCACCCCGCCCCCACTCAGTGTAACCAGKCATGCCCCGTTGCCCCAGCAGTTGCATGCCCTGTTGCCTCTAACAACAACCAGCCTGCTTTTCATAAAGCGGACAACCACTACTCCTATTTGATGTCAGCAAACCAGAATCACAACCAGTCCAATGCAGCAATAAGTCAAAGGGTCAGCAACAATCCTAACAAATTTAGCAATGAAGAGGATCCCAAAAACCACACCTCCTGCCCGTGGAAATTAGCGCCAGGAGCTAAAGTGTTGGTAAGAACAAGACTACCAAAGCTGAAGTAACTTTTTGTCATGCTGACTTATTTGACAAGTTTTTTTAATTATTATTATGTCTGTGTTTTTTTTAGGCCTGTCCTCTGAATGCATGCCCTGTATCAGGGGCTGAACGCACAAGTCAGGAGATCTGGGAGTCCTTCTCCCAGTGTTTCACCCCTGCTGTCAAGGAGGTGGTGGAGTTTGCCAAGGGCATTCCTGGGTTCCAAGAGCTCAGCCAGCAAGACCAAGTCATGCTGCTAAAATCTGGCACCTTCCAGGTAAGAATGTGTTTCAGATTGTTATTATTATTATTA